GATTTGGAAATCCACAGTGGGAGCTGAAATGTGAGAACTGTGATATAGAGCCTTAGTCAAAGTGTGGTCCAGGAGCACCAGCAGGAGCATTGCCTGAGAGCTCCTTAGAAATGCAAAATCTCAGTCCCTTTCCCATACCTTCTAAAATCATAATCTGCATTTTTTTTTTTTACAAGACCCCCACATGACTTCTAAGCACACTGAAGTCTGAGAAGCACTGATGTAGATATTGGCAGCACAGCCAAGAAAGCCCTGTATAAGTTGACGTAAAACAAAACAAAAAACCCCCACTAAAATTCCCTAACAGTCCAACAGTGAGCTATTAAGAAAGGATACATCACTATCATGTAGAGTTTATCTCAGGAAGGCAATGGCAGTTTAATATCAGAAAATCTGACCGTGTGGTAGATGTGTGCTATTGAATACTATTCAACAATTAGAAGCTATAATCTAGATATATATGCAGACACATGACTAGATGCCATGGTAGTGAGTTTAAAAATAAAAATTAAGAAACAATCAGTACTGTACTTTATATATTCAAGGATCTCTACATATCCATGGACAAGTGACAAACATTAGAGAGTAGCTGCCTATGGGGGTAGGGAAATGGGAATGAGAAAACACGGCCCTCAGGCTCTCCAGATGGGCCAACAAATGGATTATTTTCTTCTGCTTTTCATTCAGGTAGCTCCCAGTCCTCACCCTGGGTTTTGACCACTCCCAAACCTTCCTCTTAGGCTCTATATTATGCATAGCAATTTAATTTAGGTGCAGAGCTCCCAAAAGTGCAAATTAACACTCCTAAGTTATTTACCAATTGCCCTCCAGTGGATTCATGGTGACCCCATGTGTGTTTGAGCAGAATTGTGCTTCACAGGGTTTTCAGTGGCTGATTTTTTAGAAGTAGATTGCCAGGCCTTTCTTCCAAGGTGCCTTTGGGAGGGCTCAAAAGACTACCCTAAAATTAGAAGTATTTGAAACTTGGATATTCAGTGTAGGTGGTTGTTTGTTGTTTAGTTTGTTGTTTGTTTGTATTTCTTATTCAACAAAAAGAGCTCTGCCTGTCTCTAGTTCAATGCTTAGTAAATGAAACTAAGCTCATTGGGATTGAAGAAGCGAGCATCAGGACTTCCGGATTTTACTTCCAGCAGATCACAAAGATCAGCGGTGAAGCTTGTTAGACAAGTTCATTCAATCATGTGCCAGTTTACTTAATCATAGAGTGAGAAAAATAAAATAAGGCCTTTGTGAAATCACAAGTTTATTGTAGGGTTTAAATGAAGATGTGTAGTTTTTAAAACAACTTAACTTTGCAGCCTCTGTAATGTTTAAAAACATAGGTTTTCTTTTAGGGGAGAGGTTGCAAAATAGTATTTGTGGTGTAATCTCATTTGTGTAAAAAAATTAAAGCTATACTTGTATATAAAACTTTGGCAGAATACACGAAAAGTCGATACATTAGTTATCTATGGGTAGTAGCAAAAGAAAGTGTTGAGTAAGTAGAGAGAGAGGCTGTTCTGGTTACCTAGTGCCACTCTGACAAGAATACACCACAAATGAGATGGCCTTAACAAACAGGAGTTTATTCTCTTACAGTTTGGAGGCTTTAAGTCCAAGTTCAAAGTGTCAGGCTCTAGGGGATGGGTGAAAGCCCCTCAACCTTGAGGTCCACCTCTGCCTTCTGCTCCCAGCCCACTGGAGCTAGAGGCGTTTCTGCACTCAGCTGCTGGCTGCTGAGACTGACAAGCCCAAGGTTGACAAGTAAAAAGGCACAGTCCCAATGTTACCAAACCACATGGCAGGCCATTAATTCAAGTCCCAATTGTAAGTCCCAAGGTCAGCAGAGCATGGCAGGCTGCTGAACAGTGACACGGCCAAATGCAGGGTCCAAGCATGCCATAAGCTAGAGACTATCCCCAAGGCTTCTCCTTATATACAGGAAGCAGACCACATCCCAAAGGCAGCTACTCAACTACTTGTGGTAGATCCCCCATGGAGTTGATTGCCAGTCTCATCATGAGAAATAACTACCACCAGCTGCCCAGCCACTCAACCAGGCCCAGCCAAGTTGACATACAAATTTAACCACCACAGAGGCTTTCACCTATACTCTGAAAATGTTTGAACTTTTTCAACCATGACTATATACTATTATAATAAACACTCCAAAGGGAAAAAAAAAAGCCGAACTCAATGCCATGAGGTCAATTCTGACTCATAGTGACCCCCATTGGGTTTCCAAATTGGTAAATCTTTACAGAGGTAGATTGCTCCACCTTCCTCCCACAGAGTGGCTGGTGGGTTTGAACCGTCAACCTTCTAGGTAGCAGTCAGATGCCTAAGGCACTGCACCAACAGAGCTCCTTATAATAAACACCAGGCACTAATAATAATAGTTTGACCATCAGAAAATTGGCTTCTTTCTGGATCAGAAATGGGGTGATTCTGCCCAGTGCATGGGAAGACAAAAGAAACTCCCAAGTCCTTTGGCTTCTTGCCACAGAAGTAAATTAGGGGTAATTATTTGTGGTGTAGTGCCTGAGGCATTTGACTGCTAACCAGAAGTCTGGCAGTTCAAACCCACCAGCCACTCCTCGGAAGGAAGACTAGACAATCTACTTCTGTAGAGATGCTGCCTCAGAAACCCAAGGAGGGGTTGCTATGAGTCAGATCCCATTTGAAGGCAGTGGGGTGTTTTTTTTTGTGTTTGTTTGTTTTGACAATAGAAATTCATTTCTTGCTCATCAATAGTCAATAGTCTGGGGAGAGGGCCTTTCCTTTTTTACATCACAGAGGTGCCTGGGTGGCACAAATTGTTTGAGCTTAGCTACTAACTGGCAGTTCAAATCCATCCACCCAACAGCAACATGGAAGAAAGGGTTGGTGATCTGTTTCTAAAAAATCAGCCATTGAAAACACTATAGAATGCAGTTCTATTCTGATACACATTGTTTGCTATGAGTCAAAATCAATTTAATAGCAATGGGCTGGGTTTTGGGTTAGGTATTCACATTACAATCATTCTATTATCATTCTGTAATGAAATTCATGTATGGTATAAGCACTTGGCATATCTTTAAAACATCTGACCCTATGCTTCGGGAGCAGGATTCAAAAGATAAAAAAGGTGCTCTTGTACACAGAGGATTGTTCTATACTAGAGAGGAACTGGATTGGGGGTGAAGAAAGATTTCTTCAGGGACTGGGGTAGGAATGTGTTAAACTTGAGAGGAGACCTAGAACCAGAAAGGATTGGGGGGTTGCAGCAAGGATCATTACTGTTGCAGTGATTCATGCCTTGCTTTGTCAGGTTCTTTTAACATGTAGTCTGTGTCCAAATAATAACGGTAATAATAATAAATATTTGAGAGATTTAGCTAGACCTGAACAAATGCCTCATTTTATTCAGTGACAGCCCTGGTGATTGTTCCACTGTCATCAGGCAAGTCCCGAATAAAAGAAAGGACAGGATTCTACCCCCAGTTAGTTACCTAGGGCCTTCAAAGCTTGCTAGTGACCATCTAAGGGGTTACAATTGCTCTCCTGGAGCAACAGAGGCAGAAAGAGAGTCAGGAATAGGAGGAGAAATGAATGTGTGGTTAATTACCTCCATGACCAACTGCTTCCTTTGTCTTGAGACCAGAAGAACTGGGTGGTGCCCAGCTACCATTACTGAATGTTTTGATCAAAGAGTCTACAGAAAAGGAGGGAAAATATATCATCTGATGTTTTCGTTAAACCAAATAACAGTTAACTTGATTAGTAGAGAATGTCTGCCTTGAGATTTGTGCTCTTTTAAAGATCGATAGGGAATCAAATTGACAACAGCAACTCAAAAAGTTAAACTGGAAGCTTAGGGGTCAGTGAATTTATGTTAAATGGTGGAGGAATAATTCAGATAAGGACAGTAAGAATGGTTGTACAACTTGAAGCATATAATCAATGTTATGGAATTGTTCATTTAGAATTGTTGAATTGGTGTCTGTTTTGCTGTGTATATTTTTAGCGACAACAACCAAAATTTAAAAAAGAAAAGAAACAGAGAACAGGATGATGTCTTGATCATAGAGGGGTCAGGACCCATCCCCTCTGCACCTTCTGCTTGCACCTACCTCACCATCAGATTAGCACCACAGAGAGATTCCACTGGGTGTAGGCCCTTCCGTTAGCCCCATCAGTACTGATTAGACACACAAGATGCAGAAAGTCAGTTTGGGGTACAGACTTTATTAGGACATTCTCTATAAATCTAGAGAAATGACCTGAAGGGGATCAGGAATGGGTCCAGGGTCCACCCAGGGCTGGATGTAAAGGCCCTTGTTGTTGTTGTTGTTATGTGCCATCGAGTCGGCCCCGACTCATAGCGACCCCTCCTTGGGTTTCCGAGGCAGTATCACTACGGAAGTAGGATTGCCCAACCTGCCTTCCGAGGAGTGGCTGGTGGGTTTGAACCGCCAGCCTTCTGGTTAGCAGTCAAGTGCTTTAGCCACTATGCTACCAGAGCTCCTAAGCTCTCCATATCAGCATCTCCATATGCATGTCAAAATATAACCTGTCAACTGTAAAATTAGTGCAAGCCTAACTGCTAACCAGGAGGCTGGCAGTTCAAACCCATCAGCCACTCCTCGGAAGGAAGGTTGGGCAATCTACTTCCATAGTGATACTGCCTTGGAAACCCAAGGAGGGGTTGCTATAAGTCAGATCCTACTTCATGGCAGTGGGTTTGGTTTTGGGGTTTGAACAAAGTTCTGATTTTTCCCATGATTATTTTGAAGCTTTTTTTTTTCTCTCTTTTCAATTTTGGAAGTTTTTTTCCCCCAACAATTCCCTGGCTCCTGGCTTTGCTGGCATCCTAGGTACAGCCTAGCCTACCTAGCCAGAGATGCAGAAAAAGCTGAGGCATCATGGGGAGGACTCAGATGTCAGGGATTTCAAGGGCACAAAATAAAATCAACCACAAAGCTGCACGCGATTCCAAGATCAGCTGTTCTCCCGCCTCACTTGGGGACAATGAGACGCCCAAGGTCCCGCGGCTGGCCAGGGGCAGAGCTGGATCCCAGGGCACTGCTTTCTCCTCTATACCACCTATCAGATACTTTCAAAGTGAGGCTAGAGCCCTTTTTCCAGACGGCAAAGTAAGGAAAGACTTTGCCCGAGAAAGAGGTGGTGAAGGTGAAGATGGGCGCCCCTGTTTCGGTGTTCTGAAGGGTCACCCGGCCTGCCTCATAGTCCAGGGTGACGCACACGTGGCGAGGGATCTCGTCCAGCAGCAGGTCAGTGCCTGGAGAGGTGCTGGCCCAGCACTGCTGGTGCGAGAGTATCACGGCCCAGATGCCCTCGTCGGCGCTCAGCCCTCTGTCCCCCTTCCTCTTCACCGTCTCCTGGGCCACCCCCACCGTGCATCCGCCGCCATCCCCTAGCTGCACCTCCACCTGCCAGCTGTGGCGGCCGGAGGAGAAGCCCCGGGAGCCCAGCACCACCGGAAGCCTCTCAAAGCGCAGGGGGCTGTCGGGCAGGTTCTGCTTCTGCCGGGTGTACCTCACCGACTTCCTGTCCTCCGAGATGACCAGGCTCCTGCTGGCGGTCTGAGGGTCTAGAGTAACGCCCCCTAGAGGGAGGAGATAATGAACATTAACAGAGCTGGCGGTTGTTGTTATGTGCCATCGAGTCGGCCCGACTCATAGCGACCCCTCCTTGGGTTTCAGAGGCAGTATCACTACGGAAGTAGATTGCCCCATCTTCCTTCCGAGGAGTGGCTGGTGGGTTTGAACTGCCAGTCTTCTGGTTAGCAGTCAAGTGCCTTAGGCACTATGCTACCAGAACTCCGAAGGCTGGCAGCAACCAATAATGTCCCTATTGCAGGTGACAGTGTGCGTGGCAGCCAGGAAGAGCGTTGATCTTGTTCAGTCTGCCATTGTCCTGACTTCTCTAAATCTCAGTTTCCCCCTTCTGTTACGTAAGGACAGGGGACAACAGCTCTTCATCCTGCTCCAGAAATGCTGCTGTAAGATCTTTTCCAGATCGCATTGCTTGCGAGCTTGTTAGAAACGCAGAATTTTGGGTCCCATCCCAGACCTACTGAAGCAGAACCTACAAAATCTCCAGGTGATTTGTCTTCACTTTAAATCGAGAAGCGCTGATTTTAAGTGTCTCTTAAGAGTAAGTTGTTGCTTGTGGAAGCATTTTCTAAATTGCACAACCATTTAAAAGTAAAGGCTATTAAAAATAATAATAATAAAAGTACAATATTCAATTCAATAAAGAATCCAGCACAGTGCTGGGCATAAAACAAAGGCTTGATAAATATTTCTGAATGGTATTATCTATACAAATCTCTAACATTAATTGAGAACTTACTATGCTCTTTGACTGTATCAGTTCATTTACTCCTCACAGTTACTTATGGGATGGCTGCTATTATTTTTTCCTTCTTATAGGTGAAGAAATTTAGGACCAAATGGTTAAAAAACTTGTCCAGTGTTTCCCAGCTAGCAAAAACTAGAATAAGAACCCACACAAAGGGGCTCCAGAGTTCATGCATGTAACTACTATTTGCTGCCATGAGTTGAATGAATGGATGATGAATGTACAGCTCCCAAACCACCACCACCACCACCACCACCATCACCACCCCCACAAACTGTTTACCTGAATCTGTCTCCAGATGAAGCACCAAATTTTCTGAGGAAAGCAGAAAGAAAGGTCTGTAACTTGTTCCATTTCAGGTACTTCCAAGGGCATTGTGCCCTAGGTACAATGTAAGGGCAGGGACAGGAGAAGGTGTCTGCTGCGGTCTGATGGGAGAGAAGAGGTCCTCACTTTCCTGAACAGTCACTCCAATGTTAGGACACAGAGTACCTGCCCTTGGGGAACAGAGAAGATGCTAGGGAATGGTCCTCTGAGTGCTGTGGCATCAGCAAGGGAAGGGTTACTGGAGGGAGATATCTTGAGCTTGGTTTTGAAGGCAGGACATGTGGAGATGGGTGGAAAGGAGAAGGGTCATTAATGGGGATGAGGAAAGCTGTTCCTCCTTCCCCTTTACCTGAGAACTTTCTCATCATCTCTGGGAGAGGGAGTATTTTCTTGTGGAGATCACGGATCTTGTTGACAAGGTCAGGAGAAATGGCCTCCGGACTCACAAAAGTCTTCGTCTCACACCTGCAGACAAGTTTGGTAGCATGTTAGGCCCAAATTCCCAAAATAAGGATTTGGTGTTACAGACCAAACAAACAAAAATCCCCTGCCATCCAACTCACAGTGATCTTACAGGACAGATTAGAACTGCCCCACAGGGTTTCCAAAGCTATAAATCTTTATGGAAGCAGATTGCCTCATCTTTCTCCCATGGAACACCTGGTGGTTTCAAACCACCAAGCTTTTGGTTAGCAGCTGAATGCCTAGACCACTGTGCCACCAGAGCTTCTGTTACAGAACAAACAAGAGTCAAATCAGACTAAAGGATGGTCTTGGGGTCTGTGCTGAATGATTAGATTGAGCATCATCTCTTTACCTTTGCTGGGACTGTATAGCTACTAAAGCAAGAGAAACTTCAATTAGACCTACAAGGAACTAATCATAGCTACTCATCAAGAATTAAATGCAGGTACTTCAAGAGAATATTTAGGTCTATGTGAGCCTCTGGTGGCATACTGCCTAAGGCATTTGACTGCTGACCAGAAGGCTGATGGTATCAAACCCACCAGACACTCCTTGAAAGGAAGATTGGGCAATCTACTTCTGTAGTGATACCACCTGGGAAACCCTTTGCTATGAGTCAGATCCTACTTGAGGGCAGTGAGTTTGGGTTTTGTTGGTTTGGTGAGGCTGGAGGGGCAAGGATCATTACCCCTATTAGCCTCTAGAGGGAAGTATGGTATAATTTGAAAAATCCAAAAAAAAAAAAAAAAAAAAACCAAACTCATTGCCATTGAGTCCTTCTGGACTCATAGCAACTACTCCTTGGGTTTCCGAGATGGTATCTCGATGGATTGGGAGGAAGGTTGGGCAATCTATTTCTGTACTGATACTGCCTCAGAAACCCAAAGGGGGTCGCTATGAGTCAGATCCAACTTGACGGCAGTAAGTTGTCTTTACTAAGTAGATTGCCCAGTCTTCCTTCCGAGGAGTGGCTGGTGGGTTTGAACTGCCAGGCTTCTGGTTAACAAATGCCTTAGGCACTACTACATCAAATACCCTTAAATTATTTTTAATATGAGCTGTGTTCTGTTTAAGGGAAAGAGGGAGAGGAGGGAAAAAAAAGAGAGATGGAAGAAAACACATTTGTGGTAAAAAATTTTTAAAATTAAAAAAAACCTGGATTTTTCCCAGCTCAGCTCTTAAGCAAGCACTTCACCCTCTAGGCCCCCATTTCTTGGTCAGATTAGTAGACTTCTAAGGCCCTTCTACATTTAAATCTCTAAGACTCTGAAAAGCTGGATCAAAACATTCCTGATTCTTGTTGTTATGTGCCTTCGAGTTGGACCCAACTCATAGTGACCCCTCCTTGGGTTTCCTAGGTGATGTCACTACAGAAGTAGATTGCCCCATCTTCCTTCTGAGGAATGGCTGGTGGGTTTGAACCGCCAGTCTTCTGGTTAGCAGTCAAGTGCCTTAGGCACTATGCTACCAGAGCTCCCAAACAGTTGACTTTTCAGAAGTAGATTGCCTTCTTTTTTTTTTTCCCCCTGAGATGCCTCTGGGTAGACTCTAACTTCCAGCCTTTCAGTTAGCAGCTGAGCACTTTAAACTTTCGCCCACCCAGGCACTCTTCCTGATTCTTGTTGTTGTTGTTGTTGTTATGTGCTATCCAGTCGGACCCGACTCATAGCGACCCCTCCTTGGGTTTCCAGGGCAGCATCACTACGGAAGTAGATTGCCCCATCTTCCTTCCGAGGAGTGGCTGGTGATTTAGCCCCTTTCTCCACATGAATGGGCACACAGCAGACGACAAGTATTCCTAGTCCTTATGTCTTTTCTCATCCCAGGGCAGACTGCTTATGCTTACAGGAGGGAGAAAAGGAAAGTAACATATATTTAAAATGCCTACCAGCTTCTGGGAGGAAAAAGGAGGCACTGAGTGAAAGATGAATAGAAAGCTTCTCTGTTCTCCCAGTTTCCATGTTTGTCATAGTCTACAGAAAATATTTCCCCTTAGAATTACATTTAACTATGCTAGTACTAATACTTTTACACTTTCATAGATTAAATCAATGTTTCAAGGTCAGTCTACAAACATGATTATTATTTATAACTTCATTTCTGGGAGAGGGGAGATGGGTCCCAAATACCAATCAGCATAAAATTAACCTTTAAAACACTAACCATTAGTGTGTCTGGGTGTTCTTGTGTGAGTGAATGAGACAGTTAACTAACAGAGTGTCTTGTTTTTCTGTGTACCCATTCCTGTGTGGGGGCCATGAGTTTTTGCCTTCAGTCTCAATGTGTATAAAAGAGGCAATATTGTGGAGTGGGGCCTACCTGCTCTGGTTGAATCTGACATCCTACAAAAGAAAAAGAAAAACATACACTTAGTTTCCATACGTCCTTCCCCTCAGGGATTCCACACAGCCCTTCCTTCCTTAAAATACCAGCTCAAACTTTCCTCCTCCAGAGAAGTCTATCTGTTTAACTACCTACTTATTAGATCATTCTTTTACATTGTGATTTCCTACTAATTTGGCACTGTGTAGGCAGTTCATTTGTGCTCGTTTCTCTGTCTCAGCATTATCCTAGGTGATAAAGGCTTCAATGATTAACAGATTGTAGAGAGCAGGGGCCAGCCTTGAGTTGTCAGCCAGACCTGCTGTGGAACTGGATAATATGAATAATGACCATCACAACAGTTTCTTGAGCTCTTGCAATATGCTAGGGACCACGCTAAACATCTCACATGGATCTTTCCTTATAATCTTTGCAACAATCCTATGAGGGAAGTACTATTATTACCCCCATGGATAGAGGGGTTAAGAATCTAGCCAAAGTCACACAGTTGGGAGAATCAACACTCAAACCCAAGATTGTGTGACTCCAAAGCCCATGACATGACCACAGTGTGTGACTTGGGGGAGTCACCCAGCCAGCCTCTCTGGGTCTGTGTCTCCTTAACCTGTCTAGACTGAAGGAACCAGATAACCACCAATCCCTCCCATTAGAGGTAATCTCCACTTCTCTTTCCTCCCTCTCTTCCAGCCCACATCTTCCAACCCACAGCCCAGTACCCCTTTCTGTGGAGCTTCTCCCCTATCCCATGAGGTGGTGGGATGTCTCTCACTTTCAGGAGCTCACTTGCTGGCTGCTGACACTTTTCCTCCAGCTCCGTGACTTGGGCTCCAAGCCGGGCTATTTCCTCCGAGACCTTCGCGTTATAGTCATTCCGCTCCTTCCAGATCTGCTGTTCCAGGTCCCTCAGCTGGGACAGCAGGAGTCGCTGCTTTTCCTTCAGCTCCTGCTGCAGCCTCTCAAAAGTTACTTCCACCTGATGCTTCTTGCTTTCAATCTGAGTCTGGGAGGATTAGAAAGACAGGCATGGTTAGGGAGGTGCTCACAGAGCTGGGTTCCAGGAGGATCATCCACATATTTCATATAGGTTAAGAGGGGTAGCAAGTAACTAGTTCCAAGATTCATTCTCTCATATAATACTATGATAGAAGTAGACGGGACTCAGGATGAAGTTTCCAATGATGAAGGCTGTGCTATCTTACCTAAAGATGGTAATGGTAATAATGCCACTTCATGCTCTCAGAGCCATGTTGAACTTTTCAAAAATCCTTCCACATCTACAATACTATGCTAGCCCTACCATGTTGTTGTTTGTTGTTGTTATTTGCCATCGAGTCGGCCCCGACTCATAGCGACCCCTCCTTGGGTTTCCAAGGCAGTATCACTACGGAAGTAAGATTGCCCAACCTTCCTTCCGAGGAGTGGCTGGTGGGTTTGAACCGCCAGCCTTCTGGTTAGCAGTCAAGTGCCTTAGGCACTATGCTACTAGAGCAACAATAAGCCCTACCATACCTTCCCTAAAGTTAGGTGGAGATGATCACATTCATTTCTTAGAGAGGAGCTGAGGTGAAAGGAAGCTGTGGTTAGTCAACACAGCTTAGCAGAAAAGCACATAGTGTTTGTCTGTCTTGGCTATTGAGGAGGCCATCTGCAGGACATAATTTGATGGGAGTTGAAGGGTGCTGGAGAGATTGTCCTGTCCCCAAACTCTATCTCCCTAGTCAGGGCACCAGAAACTCCTTCACTGTGTATGTCTTCCTGATCATTTTGAAGCATGTATAAAGTGAGAGAGAGCCATAAATAACCACACCATCAGCCCACTGTGCTCCGGGTCAGTGTCGTGGTCAGCACGAGGACTCAGGCACTAATATATACCTTCTGACCTCCAGCTTCCTATCTGAAGGTGATACTTGTAGGCAGGCTGGGGTGAGAAGAGCAATCGACTAAGAGTCAAGAAACCCAGGTTCTAGTCATTTCATCATGAACCTGGGTTTTGCTGTGTAGCCTTGAGAGCATCACTTCTCTGAAGCTCATTTTTCTGCTTTGTAAAAAATGGGTGTTATAGCCATCTTAGATTAGATGTCAGAACTACTTCCAGCTCTGTGGTTGACAAGAGTTTGCCAGTTCTTCCCAACCCTGTGATGGGTACCAAATAGCAAGTTTCCCCAGAGTCTGTTAAGAAACTTCCCCAGGAAGAAGATGGCCAACGATGTGGTTTTTACCAGAAGCACTTGGAGCTTCTGGTCTTCCCGACACTTTATGTTCTCAATCTCATCTCTCTCCATGTTCAGAGCTTCCAGCCGACTCCTGAGACGATCCTATGGGGAGAAGAATGGGAGGAAGACATGGATGAACTAATAATTCAACTCACAAATATTAATCACCTACTAAGTTCAAGATGGTAGTGTAGTAGCTAAGGCACTTGACTGCTAACCAGAAGGCTGGCAGTTCAAACCCACCAGCCACTCTTCGGAAGGAAGGTTGGGTGATCTACATCTGTAGTTATACTGCCTTGGAAACCCAAGGAGGGGTCGCTATGAGTTGGGTCCAACTCGATGGCAAATAACAACAACAACAAGTTCAAGAAGGTCCCTGGGTGGTGGAAACAGTTTGCTCTTGGCTAACTGAAAGGTTGGCAACTCCAGCCCATCAGCAGTCACCTCCTCTGTCTCCCATCTCATTGTGTGCACACCATGTGAGGCAGGTCTTTCTGAAATACAAGGCCTTTCTTTCTCTAAAAGAAGAGCAGTGCTTCCAGGTTACCCTTCCCCTCCCCTCACTTCCCTCTGACCCCCAATGGTTCAGGTAAATCCTGTATCTCAGGTGGATCCAAGCATCTTGCCCATAGTCTGCAGAGGCCCCGACTCTGCACTGGGCTCTCCTTCCATAGGAAGTGAAGTCAAGGCTACGTTTCCATGTGTCACTCTGGGGCCTACAGGGAAGTGGCTGGATCAGCTTCATCACTGTGGGAGGAGTCCTCTGAGGGCTGGAACTGAAGCTCTCCCAAGACCATAAACTCCCACACAGCCAAATGGAACCATGTCCCCCCATTAGTCTGGGAGTTTCCTGAGTAACCCTACAGTCTTAAGAGGAGCTTGGGTAGTGCAAGCCATTTGCAGTCAGCTACTAACCTAAAGGTTGGAGGTTTGAAACCACTCAGCAGCTCTGTGGAACAAAACTCTGGCAATCTGCTTTTGTACAGATTATAGTCAAGAAAGGCCTATGGAGCAATTCTACTCTGTAACACAGGGTGTCACAATGAGTTGGGAGCCAACTCAATGGCAGCTAATAACAACACCAATACATCCTACCACTCCAAGGTCCCTTTCATCCAGATCCCCACCCCATTCTCTGCAAACCTGTCAGGACACTGTCCTGCACAAAACAAGCCCAAGGTAAAGTCATTCTTCTTACCCGGTAGGGTTGAATGGCCTCCTCGAGGAGCCCCACAGTGTGGGCCTGGTGGGCAGAACCCTCCCTGCAGAACACACAGAGGAACTCCGCATCATTCTCACAGAAGAAATAGATCTTCTCACCGTGTTCCTCACAGTAGGTCTCCCCCAGAGGGCCCAGGGGCAAAGGGACCAGGAGGCTCTCCGGCTGCTCCTTCTGCTGGCAGAGGGGGCAGAGCAGGACCCTGCTGGAGTGGTGGGCTCCCATCTGGGAGGACAGGGGGAGGCAGGGCTGGCAGAAGGCGTGTCCACAGCTGGCAGTCACTGCATCCTCCAGGGGCTCTGTGCAGGCAGGACAAATGGCCCCCTCATGGATTGTCTGCTGGGAGGGGGATGAGGGCATCACAGTGCCTTCTTTGTCCAGTTTGTCACCTCAGGCCTCTGGCTCCGTCCACACAAAAATTCCCTTTCCCTGGAATTGAATCACTGTTAAGTGAGTCTCTGAAGGAAAGGAAATAAGAGGCCAAGAGAGAAAGGCAAGAATGTCAGGATGGGAAACCACCTGGCTCCACCTCTTGTGCATTCTCAGGGCCCTTCTCTCCCAGGCCACCACCCATCAGCCAAGTGGGTCCAAACTCCAAGGCATTTCAAATTACCCAGCATTTCCCAATGACAGCCCCAAGAGCTTGTTCTCCTGACGGTTTTATTGTGGCTTCTTCCAGGCCCTGGGGTGGGGAACAGAGCATGATGTGATGTCACAGGGAAAAGGGGTTTCCTGGGATCCCTCCCTTTCCCACAATGGGGTGAGAAAGACTGAGGAGGGGGCACTTCCTATCAGATGGAGCAGGTGAGAGCAATAAACTCCTGGCAATGAGGTGTGCCCACAGAGGCAAAGTCCAAACTGGAATGGGTGTAACTGACTTCCGGAGACTCAAGGGGGACTTGAGATTGCTCATCGGATGTTCTCCTCTGTCTTCCTTTCCTTGCTTCATCTCATCTCCCTAGGCTAGTATTTTCTTTACTCCTAACTCTCCCCATCACCTGGAGTTTGGGTCACACTGGACTTTGATTTTATCTAAACTCCACCTGGGCAAAGGCAATTGATTCATGTTGACAAACAAAGTTTAGAAGACTCAATAAGTCAGAAGGTAAACAAAATCAGCCACATTTATCTAGAGCTTAGTGTTTTCATGTTGTTACATTCAGCTCTGATAGCAATCTTGGAGCAGGTATCATTACCTTCATTTTACAGAGAAAGAAATGTAAACTGAAAGGTAAAGTGATGTTCCAAAGGCCACAGAGCTAGAAAGCAGCAAGGCTGGGGACAACCAAGTCTCCCCGCTGTAAGCCCTGGGCTCGTACAACACTCCAAGCCAAGACAATGGTCTTCATCCAGTTGCCACTTCCAGCCACAGTTCCTTCATCCACTCATCTGCCACTCAGCCCAGCATCCCGTTTTCTGTCCTTTTTCATTTCAACTATTGTGGAGAGAATGGTTAACACGCTTGGTTGATAAGTGAAAGTTGGAGGTTCAAGTCCACCCAGAGGGCCTCTGAAGAGAGGTATGGCAATATACTCCAGAAAATCAGCCATTGAAAACCCAATGGAGCACAGTTCTACTCTGAAATACATGGAGTTGCCATGAGTCAAAGGCAACTTGACAGCAACTGGGATGATATCCTACCTGCTATTATTAGGAGCTCTGGTGCCTAAGGCATTTGACTGCTAACCAGAAGGCTGGCAGTTCAAATTCACCAGCTACTCCTTGGAAGGAAGGTTGGGCAATCTACTTCCATAGTGATATCGCCTTAGAAACCCAAGGAGGGGTTGCTATGAGTCAGATCTGACTCAATGTCAGTGAGTTTTATTTATTTATTTATTTATTTTGGTTTTTTACTTGATGATCAATCATGGGAGAACAGAAGGACAGTGTTTGCACAGGAAGACAGCTTTGGGAAGGAGGGCAGGAGTGCATGAGAGGGAAGGACACAGGGAAGAGGTAAATAAGGGGAGGAAGTGGGAAGAGACCTGTTAACACTGTGGAGAATTACAGTCAATGTCATGAAACAAAATGTGTATGAACTGCTGTATGGAAAATGACTTTGCTCTGTAAACTTTCACCCAAATCACAATAAAAGTTTTTAAAACATAAAACTAAATTTTAATAAATAAAATAAAACATGGCTACTTGAATATTTTACACTGTGTATGTGGCTCACATTAGCTTTCTAATGGACAGCACCGCTCTGGAGACACACAGACCTGCCTGGAAGTTATAATCACCCATCCTTCTGCTGTGTAACCCTGGGCAAGTTAAATAACCTCAATGAGCCTCTCATTTGTGAAATGGAGATCCTAATAGTACCTATATCATAGAACAGGCAGGAAGAATAAGTAAGATTGTATGATTATTATGGATCAGAAATACATGCTGATCATTACTGTTTTTCTTCCTTCTTCCTCTCCATGCAGGGTATGTTTCAACCTCATTTAGAGACTATGGTATGCCAGGTGGGGCATCACCATTGACGATGCCTGTCCATGTACACCCAGGCACAACACTTTATCTGAGTGCTCACACTGACAGGAGAGCACTGGGCTGGCTGATATCTCAATCTCCCTGGAAACAGCTGGTCATATTGGAGGGAGGCTGGGTGGCATCACTGCTCTGTGACCCAGTCTCCCTTCTCCCCTCCTGACCCCCAAAAGTAAAAATATCTCTCTTTAGACAGCAGACAGTTGAGTTATCACCACTTCCCTGTTACTGTGTCTCCAACGGAAAAGACTGTAAGCCCCAGGTCATGGGTACAGGTCTTGAGAGTAACAGAGGTCATCTCTGGACTGCTGTGACCCCTTCTTCCTCATCCTCCTCTGCTGTTTCTCCATCTTCTGTTCTGAGTGTGTGTCTCCTGCTTTGAAAGAGAAGGACCAAACACCACCTGTTGCCAGAGGTGCAAGTAGGAGTTTTGTTCTTGTGGGTGATTTTGCATGTGGTCATGCCTGTGTGTGTGACTGCGTGGGTGTCAGTGCATATTTGAGATGTGCCTGTGACTGGCCCTGTGCCCAGGAGGCACAAGGTGAGTGTGTGATGTGTGTCCTCACTTCTTTCCCAGCCTTCCTTCCTCACCCAAGGAGAGAGGGCAAACTCAGGGATTGAGTTTGAATCCTGACTCTACACAGCAACACCAACATGGCTGCTGCTGCCTCTGTGACTAGCCTGGCTGATGAGGTCAACTGCCCCATCTGCCAAGGCACCCTGAGAGAGCCGGTTACCATTGATTGTGGCCACAACTTCTGTCATGGCTGCCTCACCCGCTACTGCGAGATCCCAGGTGGGGACCCAGAGGAGCCCCCAACCTGCCCACTCTGCAAGGAACCCTTCCGCCCAGGGGACTTCCGGCCCAACTGGCAGCTAGCAAGCGTGGTGGACAACATCGAGCGCCTCAAGCTGGTGTCCTTGCCAGACTCGGCAGAGGAGGACATCTGTCAAGAGCACGGAGAGAAGATCTACTTCTTCTGTGAGAATGACGAGATGCAGTTGTGCGTGGTGTGCCGGGAGGCCAAGGAGCACCGGGCCCACACTGTGCGCTTCCTGGAGGATGCGGCAAGGCCATACAGGGTAGGAAGGAGGGGATCCCAGGGTCCCCAGGGTGAGTCCACTGGGTTTGGGCTGGACTAAGGATCAGGGCAGATTTGTGGGTTATTTGGGCTACCTGAAGCTAATTTCTTTCTCCCTATTTATACGATCACCCAGGCAATACGCCCGGGCATGGAAGATGGTATGCTTATGTTTTGTGGTTTTGAGTGTGTTCTATGTTGTTTACTTCTGGCCAACACATAATAGGAACTCAGTAAGGACTTGTTGGGAGATCCTGGATGGTGCAAACTGTTAAGGGCTGGGTTACTAACAGATAGAACTCACCCAGAAGTGCCTCAGAAGAAAGGTCTGGTGATCTGTGTCTGAAAGGTCACAGCCTTGAAAGTCCTATGGAACACAATTCTATTCTGAGACACAAAGGATCGCCATGAGTTGGAATCCACACATGGCAGCTGTTTTGGTTTGGTTACTCTTTAAGTGATTGTTGAATGATTGAACAAACACAACATGAGTGTGTGGGGCTGTGATGTCTCAGGCAGGTATGCCTGAGGATGTCTGAGTTTGTTCTGAGGGAATGATTGCATGAACGATGTGTGTATATATTAATGTTTTCAGGTTTATGAGTGTACAGTGTGGTAGGGGGTCTGAGTGTGTGAGTATTTGAGTGTGTAAGTGTAACTGAATGCCTGTGTTCATGAATAAATTTGTGTTTGCATATGCAGCTTATGTAAATGTATGTGGTGTGTAATTTTGTCTGTTGTTAAATGTGTATGTACTGTTTTTGTTTGTTACATTTTAGTACAAATTTTAGTACAAGTGGGCATCTGTATGTGTGTATGTGCTAATTAGTTAATTACTATTTGAGAATTCTAGATACATTTTGAATGTATATATATATATATATATATATATATATATATATATATATATATGGACATTTATGTGTCCATACCTGGCCATATATATCTACATGGGGATGGCAACTTTGTCTCATGTAGTTTGGACATGTGATGAGAAGTGACCAGTCCCTGGTGAAGGACATCATGCTTGGTAAAGTAGAGTGTCCATGACAAAGAGGAAGACCTTCAACAAGATGGATTGACACAGTGGCTGCAGCAATCGGGTCAAACATAATGATTGTGAGGATGGTGCAGGACATGGCAGTTTCTGTTATATAAGGTCACTATGAGTCAGAACTGACTTAATGGCACCTAACAATAACATACCCAGACATATATATTCCTTATTCTACTCTAGACTAAACCATTTTAAAAAAAAATCATTCATTGATTGTTTTTATATTATCCAATTTTCTTCTCTTCAGAATCGTATATATAAATGATTCCATTCACAAGGGAGGATTGTTATTTGGACCTGTTTCCTTTGGAACATATGAGAAACTTGGGATAATTTCAAAGGCAGTCATACCATATGTTCAAAAGCTCAGGACAGAATTCATATACCACTTTCCAAAGGCAAACAAACAAAATACTAGAGTGTTTAACCTGGAGAAAGAGAAGTGCATGTGGGAAAATGAGTCATAGCCTCTGATGGCTCATGATAAAGAGGGAGGGCTATGCTCAAAATTCTTGAAGGACAAAGCAAGAGAAGCAACACCCAAAGAGAATATACTCTCCAGGTTGATTAAGGCCCTGGCATTATCAATGAAGGGAGTGACTCTTTTCCTTAGGTTATTCTTCCTGGAGGCAGAGTTGGACAAGGTGAGACCCTTAACACATTGTTTCTTTTCCGGTCTTAAATATATTATGCTCCCTTTCTCCAGGAACAAATACAGAAATGTCTTTCATGTCTAAGGAAAGAGAGAGAGGAGATTCAATGGATCCAGTCAAGAGAAAATCAAAGGATACAAGTCCTCCTGGTAGGTCATCTAGGTCATCACTCCTACTCTGGACCCCTTCCCTTCCTCAGGGTCTATTGTCTCCCTTAAACTGAAGCAAAAGAGTTAAAGCGTTGTATAGGACTCTGAGTCATTCTCAGTTTGCATCCTGATTCTGACACTAAGTGGCCATATGACTCCAAGGAACTGTCTAACTTCTGTTTAGTTATCTGTGAAATGGACATTAAAAGTAGTCACTGCCTCATTGAATTGCTGCAAGGATTAATTGAGGCTATTCCTGTAAAGTAGCTTAGCTCTGTGCATATAATGTTTACTTCATAAGAGGTGTCTCCACCATTTCTCCCTAAACCTCCTTCAAGCCATGTGCCCCTTAGAAGTTCTTAGAAGTTCTAGAAGCTGGTGCTGAGGCAATGTGGGGCTGTCTGTTTCCAGAAATGGAATGGGAATGGGAAAGGACACCAAGGAAGCAATTCCAAATCTGAGGAGCAGGGGAGGGCTCTTATTTTACCATTGAAACTTGGAGTATGTAGATCTGGGCCAGGAGAGATCGGGGAGTGAAGGAAGGAAAAAGAGAAAGAAAAGGAGGACACATGACTTCCTCCTGAGGTCTCCTCCTGCCTCCTCAGACTCAGGTGGCCACCAAGAGACAAAAGGTAGTTACCGAGTTTGCACATCTGAGCCAATTCCTGGAGGAACAAAAGAGCATCCTCTTAGCCCAGTTAGAAACCCTGGATGGGGACATCTTAAAGCAACAAGAAGAATTTGACTTTCTGGTCACTGGGGAGATCTACCGATTCAGCACTCTGATTGCAGAGCTGGAGGAGAAGAATGAGAAGCCGGCAAGGGAGCTCCTGACGGTGAGTCCTAAACCTACTTCCACCTGTGTTTTCCCCAGCTCTGCTCTGACTTAGTGCATTTGGACCCTTCTAAGCCACCTTTCCTTTACTCAATTATCTCTGTATCCCGCATAGAAGGTGGGTCACAGGATCAGAGGTCAGAATTCTAGTCTATGTTTCCCCAAGTGTTCCCTGGTTATTTTCCTCCCTGGTCTCTGTCTCTCCATTCCCACTATCCAACAAACAGAGATAATGCTTTCTTTAACTACCTCATAGGGATATTGTGAGGCTCTTACAGTAAAATGGAAGTGAGTATAGCACTTTGAAAAGTACCGCAGGCTATGCAGACAAATGTCAGGTGTTATTTCCAATGCAAACTATTCTCTATAACTTCAGGGTGTCACTATCCACCTGTCAGAAAGTTCTTCTAGTCTAATTTCACTCCTTCACATTGGAAGAGAGATAAGTATTGGGGTCCCAACAAGGGATCAGAAAGGCATGATGTAGGTGGGGAGCATTTTGGACTGAAACATTCCTTGGTGTGAGACTTATTTTTGCCTAAGTAACAGGTGCACGTCACACCACCGTCTTGTGTTTGTAAAATCAAGGGATTGAGCTCTATGCTTCCTGGGAAGCTTTGAAAGCCCTAAAACTTATGACTCTATAGATGTGGGTCCCTTTTCTGTCCAGGATGAGGAGTGTGGTATCTTGTCTTTTCTAGTTACAAGAAAATGGGATGGGTAGAAACTGAATCTCTGCTCTCTCTTTATCTCCCCTAGGATATCAGGAGCACTCTAATAAGGTAAGAGGTACAGTTCCTCTATTCTCTTTTCCCACGTAAATACACATAGATGCACCATATGCCTAGTTATTGCCATGCAACTATATAGCATTCTCACATTAAGGACATAAATTCACATGTAAGGTTTCATATACCCAAATGCATTCTAATGTACAGCCATACACAACCCCACAGAGCACCTACAGTGAGCAGTGGGGTCCATCCTAGAGGAAGTATGTCTGTCTGTGGGAAATGGCGTATCCATGCTCAGTTAGAAGATGGCAACCAGCTGAGTCTGGAGGCATCAACAATGAGGATCTTCCTCAGGTCTCCCTTTGTCCCAGAGGGTTTTACCTATCAGATCAATGAAAACAGCCATTACCTGCTGATCTGTGTGTGGCTCACAGATCCCACACATATCTGTGTCCCTAGATGTGAATCCAGAAAGTGTCGGAAACCAGAGGCTGTGTCTGCTGAGCTTGGCCAGAGGATTCGGGATGTCCCCCAGCATGCCCTCCCACTGCAGAGGAAGATGAAGATGTTTTTGGGTAAGAGGACCCCAGGTCTCCACAGGTGGGCATGAAGCCCAAGCTTAGGAATGGCCTTGATGCGCCACTGCTTTGTGAGTTTTCGTAAGGCTTTCTCCCTCTCTGTGCATTGGTTTCCTTATTTGAAGATTTTTAAAAAAATAAAATCTGCTTATCAGGATGATATAACAATGAGGAGAGATAATAAAGGTAAAGATTTTTGAAACGAGAATTAACTGATTTAAAAAATAAATCTGATAAACTGTGTTAAACAACAACAATTCAATGCACTACTCTCGAGTCAGATCTGACTCATAGCGACCCCTCCTTGTGTTTCCAAGGAGGTATTACTACGGAAGTAGATTGCCCAACCTTCCTTCCAAGGAGTGGCTGGTGGGTTTGAACCACCAGCCTTCTGGTTAACAGTCAACTGCCTTAGGCACTAAGCCATCAGAGCTCTTATAAACTGCTTTAGCAGTATAAAAGATAATGATTAACTTGTTTTCATTCTTAATAATTTAAAAAATCCACAGCAGCATTTATAGTTCATGATGATTTTTTTATGATAACGAGTATTTGAAATGAATAGCCAGCAACAATATTTATCTTGATCCTGCCATAGCTGACTCTTCCCACCTTCTCCTTTCCCTCATTTTCACCCTGTTAATCTGGTTCTCTGGGTTGAATTGCATTGTAGGGACCATGTTCCCCTTTCCAGAACAGGGAATGGTAGCAGGAGAGGGCATGGAGAGTTTGAAATGAAAGTCAGAGAGATGGCTACTCTGCCAACATCCCCCCACCACACTGACATCATGAATGGTGCTTCCTGTTTCAAAATGACCCACCCACAAAATCTCTCTAGAAGAATTTTTCCCAGAAGTCCACTTCCTGATATTCCCAGTGGCCTAGCAGTGAGAGAAATTTTACTCTAATTAAAGTCCAGCCTTTGACTATTCTCAAAACTATTTCCAAGAAGAATGAGAATTAACCCACCTGTTGTTGTTGTTGTTATGTGCCGTTGAGTAGGCCCCGACTCATAGCGACCCCTCCTTGGGTTTCCGAGGCAGTATCACTACGGAAGTAGGATTGCCCAACCTTCCTTCCGAGGAGTGGCTGGTGGGTTTGAACCACCAGCCTTCTGGTTAGCAGTCAAGTGCTTTAGCCATTATGCTACCAGAGCTCCTTAACCCACCTATCCATCCTTTTTATTGGAGCCACAATCAATGCCCATGGAAGCAGCAGTCAGGAAATCAAACAACATATTGCATTGGAAAAATCTGCTACAAAAACCTCTTTAAAGTGTTCAAAAGCAAATATATCACTTTGAGGACTAAGGGCGCCTGACCCAAGCCATGGCATTTTCAGTTGCCATGTATGCAAAAGCTGGACAATGACTAAGGAAGATTGAGGAATTGATACATTTGCATTACGGTGTAGGCAAAGAATACTGAATATATTAAGAATACTGAATTCAGTATTTTTAATACTGAATTCAGTATTACCCAGCCCACCTCATAGTCCAGAGATACACGCACTTTCCGGGGCTTAATACTGAATTCAGTATTAAGAATACTGAATATGGGCTGCCAGAATAATTTTGGACACGTTATCAGAAGGGACTCATCCCTGGAGAAGGACATCATACTTAGTAAAGCAGGGGGTCAGAGAAAAAAGAGAAAGACCCTCCACAGGATGGATTGACACAGTGGTTGCAACAATGGGTCCAAACAGCAAAGATTATGAAAATGGTTCAAGACTGAGAAGTGTTTTGTTCTGTTGTACATAGAGTCATTGTGAGTTGTAACTGACTTGACACCACTAACAACATCCACTCAGTAAGCAGAGGTTTCTGAAGCATTTACTATGTCCTAGGCACTATGCTGGACACTGAGGATACAGAGGTGAAGAAGAGAGGCATAGTCCCTGCCAGCTCAGAGCTGTCACACTGGTTCTTAAAATGGGGCTCCAGTGGCTTCAGCATTCCTCTGGGAACTGCTTAGAAGTGCAGACCCTCAGTCACACCTAGACACTCTTGTATTTAGCAATTGCTCCAGGTGATTCATGTTTACAATCAGTGGTCTAGTGGGTTCCAGGTTCAGTTCTTCTCTTTGTCCCTTCCCTTCTCCTGGTTTGAGTTTCCTCATCACTGAATGTTCTAAGGATTTGTGAGACTAATTAAATCTCATCCTGCTTTATATCCTCTTTACAGAAAAAATCTGCTTTGAGTTGGACTATGAGCCAGGTAAGTATGCCTAGTTAGAACACGATGACCAGCTAAATCTGGAAGCTTTTTAACAATGAGGATCTTCCCCAAGTCCCCCTTGTCCCAGAGAGTTTGAACCACCAGACCAGTGGTAGGGAATGAGAAGTCCAAAATTGAAAAGGAGAGACAATTTCACAGGGTTCTGCGTTGGGCACTGTAATAGTCATGTGTGTGTGTGATCTCTCTCTCTCTCTCTGTATATATATGTATGTATGTATATATGTGTGTGTGTGTGTGTATATATATATATGTATATGTATATACATTGCCTTTGTAAGACTGTCAGGAGAATCATGAAGAAAGGACAGGCACATACACATACCACATACCTGGTATGAAACTGATATGCTGAATCTGAATGTGTTCTTTTCTTGAAAAGAAAAGAAAAATTAAATCCGATTGGGATAAGGTCTATCAGAGAAGTCTTCCTGGATGAGAGGACCTTTGACCTGGGTTGAGAAACACATTCTTAGCACTGTCAGGAGCATCTACTCCCTATTAGATATGGTTTCATAGATGATAGAAGAACCGTGGCCTACGGATAGGGAAGGAATGAATTGAATGGACACCATTCAAGGATTGTTTTCCCAGCCTGTCAACCAAGACCTTTGTGAGTCATGGAGCTGTTGGAAGAATCCTGTTACCATGTATATATCTGAGTTTATGGACTTGTTTCCATTTCTGGATACTAAAAAGTTACATGAGGCAGGGTATGCAGAAGTTCTTGGTGTTAAAAAGTGGTTCTCAGACTCTGACAGTTTTAAAATTGCTCAAGTAGAATGAATAAACTGTAGGTAAACTAGAGAGTTGCTGGGAGCAAAGACTGTGTGTAATCAGGTCTGAAGGGTCCCTGAGAGGTAAGGGGTGAGGAGCCAGGAAATTGGGAATGAAGGGAGAATATCTGAAGCCTCTGAAATATGGTGAGGGGAAGGATGTGTGCCATCAGATAAAAGGAGATCAAAGCAGGCATCTACAGCCTTGGAAGTTAGCCAGTTTAAAGTAAGCAGAACTTCTTTTCAGAAGGCCACACCGAATCAAGTGAAAGGATGGGTATCTGAGCCCTCTGTGTCTTCTAAGCCAGCCTTCTCAGGCTTTAACATGAACACACATCACCTAGGGATCTTACTAAAATGAAAATTCTGAATCAGTGGGTCTGGGGTGGGGCCTGGGACTCTGCATTTCTAACACATTACCAGGTGATGGCCAGGCTGTTGGTCTGCATAGGCAGTACTTACATTGTTGGTAATCATAATTATAGCAAGTGGGTACCAATGAAGTTTTTAGGTCTTCCTTGAAGGTAATAACATGCTTGCTAATATTTGTGTCCTTTGGTTTTCCCCACAGCCCACATTTCTCTAGACCCTCAGACATCCCACCCCAAGCTCCTCTTGTCTGAGGATCATCAGCAGGCTCGGTTCTCCTACAAATGGCAGAACTCACCAGAAAATCCCCAGCGTTTTGACCGGGCCACCTGTGTTCTCGCCCATGGAGGCTTCACAGGAGGGAGACACACATGGGTGGTGAGTGTAGAATTGGCTCATGGGGGTAGTTGCACTGTGGGTTTGGTGAGTGAAGATGTGCGACGGAAGGGAGAGCTGCGGCTGCGGCCAGAGGAGGGAGTGTGGGCATTGAGGCTGGCATGGGGCTTTGCTTCAGCTCTGGGCTCCTTCCCCACGCGGTTGGCCCTGGAGGAGCATCCTCGGAAAGTGCGTGTATCTCTGGACTATGAGGTGGGCTGGGTGGCCTTCACCAATGCTGCCACCCATGAACCCATTTATACCTTCACAGCCTTCTTCACTGGAAAGGTCTTTCCCTTCTTTGGGCTTTGGGGCCGAGGGTCCAGTTTCTCCCTGAGCTCCTGAGACGGTGGTGTTAGCTTCTTCTAAATACAAGGCTGATACAGAGTTCTGTGTGGACCTGAACCCTGACTGGGTCCCCTAGAAGACTTGGAATAAAAATCACTGCTTTAAATGATGAGATGGGAGTTAGAATTTTGGCAGGGAAAAAGATGGGATGATCTTCAACATTTGTCCCAATGCCCCGTGGATGGTCAGGGTATTTGGGGACTTTGGCCACTGCTGGCTCTCTCCACCAAACTCAGAAGTATCTGTGCAGAGGAAAGAGTGCTAGATTTGTAGCCAGAAGACTTAGGTTCAAGACAAAGCCTTGTCATCAGTCAATCGTGTGATCTTAAGCCAGGAACCTCACCTCTCTTCATCTTGGTGTCTTCTAAAACTGTCGAGGTTCATTTCCTCATATCCTCAAGAAATATATATTGTGTGCCAATTATGTACCAAGCAGTATAATAGCTACATACCAAAAAAGACAAGAAAAGAAAAGACACGCACTCACAAACATGCACTATCTCTGAATGAGCTCAAGGGGAGAAACAGAGAGATCTGAGGAAGTTATAACACAGTGTGATGGGTATTCCAATCGGGGTCTGAGCTGGGTGTTATGGAAGCTTGGAGGAGGGACCATAATCCAGTAGAGAGGATGGGGTTGGCCAGAGAAAGGTTCCCAGAGAAAGTGGGCTTAGGGGATGAGTAGGGTGAATGAGAAAAAGAGAGGAAGAAACATCTTAGGAAGAGGGAACAGAGGACTGGCTGGATGACCTGTGACCCATGGGACACTGGATCATCTCCATGGTCTTCAGGAGAACATAGCTGAATTATCTGAAAATGTGCAGCCACCCCCACTACTGACACCACTGTCTCCTTCCTCTTGGTGGGATCACTTCTGGCTGAGAGGAAGGTGGAGGACTTGTGAGGAGGAGGACAGGAGGAGGCATGGCCACAAACCATAACTCAGGGCTAGTCTCCACTTAATTTACCACCACTACCACCACCCACCTCCATGTAGGACCACACTCAACCCTTGAGAAAAATCACCCTCTTCATCTGTTGATCTCCATCTGAAGTCAAGAAATGAGCCATAAATAACTCAGTTGTGGGAGAAGAAATGGCACCATTTGCACACGTGCTGGGTGAAAGAATCCTGGACGGGGGAAGGATGAATTGGGTGACCTGTGACTTGTAATCCAAGGAGTTGAGACTGCTTTGGAGCTGGACAAGGAGTGACATCTGGGACCCTCACCTCATACCATATATGAAAATAACTCAAAATGGATTTGAGATCCCAAATAAAGTTTTTATTGGTTTTAGCTGGGTCTTTAAAAATGACTTTTGGGCTCTAAGTTAAATGTGTATAAAGATCCCAACCTGCTGAGGCCCTTTGAGGGTCCACCTTGATCAAGGTGATAACCTGGCACTCATGTGTCTATTCAAAAGCCTGAATTAATGGTCATCAATATCACCATTGTCACTTCCATTATCACCATCATTTTGATAGCCATCATGATTTATGTGCTTATTATGTGCCAGGTTAAGCCCTTCACATGCCTTTTATCATTTAATCTTGGTGATTCTATGAGATAGATCCTATTATCTCTATTTTAGAGCTGACAAAGCTGAGGACTAGTGAGCTTTTGCTATTTGCTTAGCCAAGGATTTTGATCCCTGTCCAACTGAAGGTCTCTTAACCACTCTTCTGCATAACCTTGTTTGGAAATTGGGCCCAGAATGGGTCCTGGTAAATATTTTAATGCTGGTCACACTCCTCATCAGTGATATGGATTCAGAAAGAGAATTTATATTTTTTACACTGATAAATAAAACAGCTAATGGGTGAAAATACTCTTCTTGGCCTATTAGCACCTGCTTCTTCCGTAGGTATTCTCCTTGAAGTTAATTGCTTCTCGAGTATGGAGCCAGAGCAGAGGAAGTGGATGGATTCTAAAACACAATGATTTACAGATAAGGCAGCTTCATGAACATCCCTGTTCTGCTTGCCCTAGAGTCAAGACTTCGGTTTTAATTATTGGGGCCCTGATGCTCCTAATTCTTTTTCTAAACTCCAAAGCAGTGTTACGATTTGCTCTAACATCCACAAGATTCATCCGAATTTTTTTTCACACCTTACGTTGTAGCAGCACCTTCTCTTACAAAAAAACAGAAAAAAAAAAAAAACCCAAAAAACCTAAACTCACTGCCGTCAAGTTGATTTTGACTCATAGTGACCCCTCCTTGGGTTTCTGAGGTGGAATCTCTATGGAAATAGATTGCCAGTCTTCCTTCCAAGGAGTGGCTGGTGAGTTTGAAGCACCAGCCTTCTGGCTAGCAGACAAATGCCTTAGGCACTACGCCACCAGCACTCCCACAAAGAACAGAGACCCAATCAATTGAGTTCAAGTAATGAGAAAGTTTATTATAAGAACTGACATGGAAATAAGGTAAATAGGATTTTCCACCATTTATCCAGGCCTCGTGGGAAGAAACTGTAAGGATAGCGGTAGTTCAGTGGTAGAATTCTCACCAATCTTCCAGGAAACTGGGGTTCAGTTCCCCCTCGATGCACCTCATAGAAAGCCACCAATCATATTCTGTTGCTATGATGCTGAACAGGTGTCAGCAGTTTCCAGAATAAGATGGCCTGGAAATCTACTTCCAAAAATCAGCCAACAAAAACTCCATGTGTCATAGGTTCGGTCTACAACCGATCACTGGGCAACATTTGGTTTCATTGTGAGTGAGGTCACCATGAGTTGGGGGCCTACTCAGCAGCAGCTAACAACACCATGCGAAGCACAACCAGGACACATAGGAAGAATTGGAGATTCACAAAATGCTAGTAATAATAAGCATAGATACATCTCACTTCGACCAGACATTGTAATAAATGTTTTATATATTCATTTATTACTCACAACAAACCTATGAGGTAGATACTATTATTAATATTCTCATTTTATGTAGGAGGGAACTGAGACATGTGAAGGTTGAGTGATCCCAAATCAGCAGATAATAAAAAGCAGAGCAAGAATTTGAATTCAGGTAGTTTGGTTCCCAATTCTGAGCTCATGACCATTCAGCAATATTGCCTCTGTATACTCAAGAACTGGTAGGAAGAGGACTCGAGGTCTGAGGCCCTAGAGACGGACTCATCCACTCAGCAACGTGGGCTGTGGATACTCCCGTAGCTACAATGAGTGCAGTTCTGACTCCCTCTGCTTCTGCTCTCCCTACCTACTAATGATGCATTCATTGGAGAGCCATTTTGAATTTTCAAGAGAATCTGATACAATGCTTCTTAGGAGGCCATCATCTCTACTGCCCAGCCTGTAGTTAGGCTGCCCTGGGCCAGATGCCCACCCCTGGTCCAGTCCTCGTGTGGTTGGTCTAGGAGGCTGGAGGACCTGGCAGCCCCTGCAATATAACTGACTTCTCTACAGTATAGAGAGACCCTCTGAGCTTGTGATGCACCTCTCACTCTTGGTAGGATGCTTCTGGACAAGTCCTTTGCATGACATTAACCATGTCTAGGATTTGGGAGCTCTGGTAGCGTAGTGCCTAAGGCACTTGACTGCTAACCAGAAGGCTGGCGGTTCAAACCCACCAGCCACTCCTCGGAAGGAAGATGGGGCAATCTACTTCCATAGTAATACTGCCTCGGAAACCCAAGGGGGGGTCGCTATGAGTCGGGTCTGACTCGACGGCACATAACAACAACAACAACAGGATCTGGGAATTGTTAGCTGCCACCTTCAGCGTGGTCACTGCTAGCCTAATATCTTGTTCTTAGATTTGGGGTCCCATGTTTCTCTGAGAACTGTAGCTTCCTGCCTACTAACTACACCCTTCTTTTTTGAACACCTACTCTACTAGGCTGTTCCTCCAGCCCTCTAGTCCCCCGACACCTCCTTCTAGTCCATCCTGCATAAGAAACCAGACTGGTTTTCCTCAAACACCACTTTGTTCCTTTACTCCTGACTCAAAACCTTGATGGCGCCCTGTATTCTGGAGTCATCCATCTAACCCCCTTCTTGACTTCCAGTCTTCTCCATTTCTGAGCACTCCAGACTAACCAGATCAGTCTTCTCATGCTCCTACAAAGATGCTGTGGCTTACTCCTACCTCTACACTTTCTTTTGTGGAGTTACTCTGACCTGGAATATTCTCACCTTTCTCTCCCATCTGTCAAATCTCCACCTCCCCTACAAAGCTTTCCCTGACTTTTCCAGTTTCACTCATATTTCTCCTCTGAATCCCCACAGCTCTTGGCATCTACGCCACTAATTTTAACCCATCCACACTCTTATTATACTGTATATGCTTGTCCTGACACTACAGCTAGATTATAAACTTCTGGATGAGGAACTGGAATAAGAAGATGGAATTAACATGTGCAACTATTTACAATCTGTTAGGCCCTGCAGCAGACATCTAGTATAGTAACATTTCTTGCAACAACCTCAGACCACAGGTACCATTATCCTCATTTTAAGTGGGTAATACTGAGGTTCAGAAAGGCTAAATAACTGGTCCAAGATTAATACAGAAATATTAGGTGTCCGAACTGGGACTTAAACTCAAGTTTGACTCCTAGGTTTTTACCTGTGGCCATGTTTTATTCTTTATATCCCTGAGTGATTAGTATTGAATATATTAACAAGGGCTCATTGAATATTAGTTAACTGGCTACACATAAATGGTTCCCTTTACTAAACATTGAGGATCAAAACAGGCCCTTATATTTTCTATTAATTCATTCACATATCCATTTAATAAAGTTTATCGGACACCAACTATGACCCAGGTGCTGTTCTAGAAACTGGAGACAAAAAGATAGGGTATGCTCCCTGCCCATCCAAAGAAATATGACATATGCATAACTAATTTATATCATATTAGTTATTCATTGCTTTGTAAAAATTACCACAAACTTAACAGCTTATAACAAAACATATTTATTATCTCATAATTTCTGTGGGTCAGAAGTCTGAGAATGACTTAGCTGGATCCTCTCCTTAGGGTCTCACAAGGCTGCAAACAAGGAGTTGGCTGGGGTGGGTTCTCATCTGGAGGGTCAACTGGGGAAAAATCCATTTCCAAAATCACTCAGCTTGTTGGCAGAATTCACTTCCTTGTGGCTGCAAGACTGAGGGCCCCAGCTTCTTGTTGACTAGAGGCTGGAGGCTGCTGTAATTCATAGAGGCTGCCAGCAGGTCCTTGACACATGGCCAATTACTTCCTCAAGCCAGCAAGGACAGTTTGTACAGTGACTCTGCTAGTAAAATGGAGTAATCTAACATAACACAATCACAGGAATGACATCCCATTGCCTTTGCCTGATAACATAACTGACTCCATGGCACATAACATAATAATCATGTAAATGACACCTCATCACTTTTGCTATATTCTAAACAGAGTCTCTGAGTGGCACAAATGGTTAAGTGCTTGATTACTAGTCAAAAGGTTGGCAGTTTGAACTCACCCAGAGGTGCCTCAGAAGGTAGGCCTGGTGATCTGCTTCCAAAAAGTTATAGCCTTGAAAACCCTATGGAATATAGTTCTACTCCTGGCAAATGGGGTCACCATGAGTTGGAATTGACTTGATGGCAACCACTAATAACACTATTGGTTAGAAGCAATCTTCCCCACACTCAAGGGGAGGGGATTATATAAAAGCATGAATACCAGGTGTTCCAGTTACCTAGTGCCATTCTGACAAGAATATACCACAAATGGGATGGCCTTAACAAACAGGAGTTTATTCTTACAATTTGAAGGCTTTAAGTCCAAGTTCAAGTGCCAGGCTCTAGGGGCTGGGTGAAAGCTCCTCAACTTTGGGGTCTAGCTCCGCCTCCTGCTCCCAGCCCACTGGAGCTAGAGGCGTTTCTTCACTCAGACAGCTGCTGGCTGCTGAGGCTGAGAAGCCCCAAGGTTGACAAGTAAAAAGGCACAGTCCCAATGTTACCAAAGCACACGGCAGGCCATTAACTTAAATCCATTGTAAGTCCCAAGGTCGGCAGAGCATAGCAGGCTGCTGAGCAATGACCCAGCTACATGCAGGGTCCAAGCATGCCATAGGGTAGAGACCATTCCCAAAGCTTCTCCTTATATACAGGAAGCAGACCATATCCCAAAGGCAGCTACTCAGCTGCTTGTGGTAGATCCCACCATGGAGTTGATTGCCAGTCTCATCATGGGGAATAACTACCACCAGCTGCCCAGCCACTCAACCAGGCCCAGCCAAGTTGACACACAAACATAACTACCACATCAGGAGGTGAGGATCATGGGGCCCACTATAGTCTTTCAACAATAATGCCATCCCTGTGAAACAGACAACAGGTGCTACAGGAACCCAGAAGGAATATTCCTGCCAAAATGTGCTGATGTGGTATCACCTCTGCTGAGCTCCTGCTGTCCAGATACCTGGGAGTTCCTATTTTAATATAAAATTGTGAAAGACAGGCACCATTGTCAGTTCACAGACTTACAGCAGTCTCACAAACAGCCCTAGAGGTCAGGCGTCCAGACCTCTGCAGGGTCCTCATGAGCATGAGCCTGGTTTAGGAATGAGGCTGTGGCTATTGTCCAAATGTCAGATAGTCAAGGGTCAGGTCATGCTGTGGGGATGAGGAAAGGGGGAAATGTTCAGGAGATGGCAGGCCTGAAGAAGCACCAAGTAGATCTAGTGGTGGACTGGGAAGGGTGGGAGAAGGCGAGAAGGCCGAGGTGGGTCTGAGATGAGATGGCCCAGAGATGAGCAGGTCAGAGCTGCTGAAGATGTCTAAGGAGGTGATCCATTGTCTCTTTTCTCCAATTCAGGATTAATAGCCTCTACTTGCTATGGCACACTCCTAGAAACAAAGAAATCCCTAAGTATATTCGATTGAACCTTCCACTGACCATATAACATGAAGATACAGAAGTTAACCAAGCATTGGATTCCCTTGACCTTGATAAAGCACATGTGCATGTCTTTGAATGGGTTTGTGTGTGTGTGTGTTCATGCAGAGGGAAGAAAGGACTGGTCATACCTGTTCAATAAGTCTCTGATGTTCTAGGAGAGAAAGACAGAAAGTGAGAATTACAATCAGTTTGTCACCTCCAAACTCCCTTCCCAACCTAATCTTGGAGGTTGCCTTGGGTATCACCTGGAGTACCAGGTTAGAGGGAATAGCACCCCACTCTTCTTGAGGAGGGAGCTCTGGTAGTGTAGTGCCTAAGGCACTTACTTGACTGCTAACCAGAAGGATGGCGGTTCAAACCCACTAGCCACTCCTCGGAAGGAAGGTTGGGCAATCTACTTCCGTAGTGATACTGCCTCAGAAACCCAAGGAGGGGTCGCTATGAGTTGGGTCTGACTCGATGGCACATAACAACAACAGCAACAACTGCTTGAGGAACATTTTGTGGTCTTGGACAAGTGAATGTCAACATACTTCACAGGAGAACCCTCTCCCTCTGACACTTCCCAGAGGGGTGTTACAAGAAGAGTCCCTACTATTCTGGGAGAACCGATCTTTGGGAAGTGCCTCAGAGCATGCACCTTCAGTATGCTGGGTTCCAGTTGCTTCTCTGCCTTCTCCAGAGGAGTGATGAAGTTGCTAAGCTCTGTTATTGCCTTGGAGATGTTCAAGATTCTGGTCTTCTGTGCTTGCAGGTCCTCCAGCTGGTCCTGCTGCTGCTGAAGGAGGGCATTCCTGGCTTGGTGCTGGCTCTTCATCTCAGCCTCCAGCCTGTAATCCCCATAGTCTACCCTAAACTACAGACCCTCAGAGTCAATGTCAGATGGCTCTTTCCTAGCCCTTCTCAGTCTCTGAATATTCTGAATGAGAATGCTGCTTCCTCTCAGAGCATGGTCTCTGTGTGTTATAGGTATTGCAGAGACAAATGTGTTTCTCATAAATGCAGGGACCCCTCTCCTTCCACGTCACACTCTAATGAACATCCATAGATGCCATGTTATAACATGGTGGGAACACACACATACACACCACTCAACTATATACTCTCACTGCCTGATGTTAGCCCTCTTTGAGTCACAGGGTGAGGAGAGAGTCCACACAATGAGCAAGAAAGAGAAAAAGGTACACTGTTAGAGATAGAGATGGAGACTTACAGTTTGTGGAGTAATTTTCAATTAATGAGACATCTGTCTTCTTTGATACTCACCATAAGCCAGGTAGAGAAGGACTGGTTTTCATTTAACATGTAAGTCACATGAAGATTAGAGGACTTAACTTGCTCAGGTCACTCAACTGGCTATCCTTGAAAATAAGCCCACCACCAAGTCTTCAGCTACTAACACCTTTCCCACCACATTTGGCTGCTCCCAAGACAGAGAAAGATGGCCTACAGTAAAAAGGGCCCCTGAGGGTACTCCAAGATCCTCCTTCCCAGGAATCAGAGAAACCCACCTGTGATATTTGCAGTTTCTTCTCCTCCTCAGTTTTAAGCTTCTTGAGCTTCCTGATCCTGCGGCCAAGCCGTTCCTAAAAAGACAGACAGATCTCCTTGTCAGACTGGGGTTGGGGGTTGTCACTCACTGGAAGGAACTCAAAGGAATACAGGTGATCCCAGGATGAAGCTAAAGTATAATTCTGCCTAAAAATAGGCAACTCTCGAAACATCAGGCTTGAGGTAAGGAGCATAAGAATTTATTACATAGGTACTGATGGGGTGTGTGGAGGCATCCTGGGGGCAGGCCACAGTAAGCCAGCCCCAGGACCAGTGGAAGGCAGGTGTTTGCATGTGTGGAGGAGCCCTGGGGACAGGCAGAAGTAAGCCAGCCCAGGACCAGGGCAAGGCAGGTGTTTGCACCCTGGGGACAGACTGGGTAAGTGAGCAGGGCAGGGAAGACCAGGAAAAGAACAGAGCAGTTTGGAACAACTAAGGGAGACAAACTTATCTGTCAGTTTGTCATACTGTGGTGGCTTGAGTGTTGCTGTGAGGCTGGAGGCTCTACCACCGGTGTTTCAAACACCAGCAGGGTTATCCATGGTGAACAGGTTTCAGCGGAGCTTCCAGACTAAGACAGACTTGGAAGAAGGAAGAGTCCAGCTACTTCTCAAAGAACTGGCCAGTGAAAACCTTATGAATAGCAGTGTAACACTGTCAGATATATTACTGGACAACTTTATGAATAGCCCTGAAACACTGTATGATATAGTGCTGGAAGAGGAGCCCCTCAGGTCAGAAGGCACTCAAAATATGACTGGAGAAGAGCTGCCTCCCCAGAGTAGAACCAACATCAATGGTGTGGATAGAGTAAAGTTTTTGGGACCCCCATTTGCTGATGTGGCACATCTCAAGATAAGAAGAAATAGCTGCAAATATCCATTAATAATTTGAACATAGAATGTAAAGTATGAATCTAGGAAAATTGGAAGTTGTCAAAAATGAAATAAAACACATAAAGATCAATATCCTGGGCATTAGTGAGCTGAAACGGACTTGTTTTGGCCATTTTGAATCAGATCTACCATGCATGGAATGACAGACAAATTGAAGAAGAATGGTGTGGCATTCATCATCATAAAGAATGTATCAAGATCTATCCTGAAGTACAACGCTGTCAGTGATAGGATAATATCCATACACTTATGAGGATGACCAGTTAATACTATTATTCAAATTGACGCACCAACCACCAAAGCCAAACTGAAGATTTTTACCAACTTCTGCAGTCTGAAATTGACTGAACATGCAATCAAGATGTGTTAATTATCACTGATGATTAGAATGCAAAAGTTGGAAACAAAGAAGAATGATTGGTAGTTGGAAAATATGGCCTTGGTTATAGAAATGACGCTGGAGATTGCATGATAGAATTTTGCAAGACCAACAACTTATTCATTACAAATACCTTTTTTCAACAACACAAACTGTGGCTATACACATGGACTTCACCAGACAGAGTACCCAGGAATCAGATTGACTACATCTGTGGCAATAGGCAATGGAGAAGCTCAATATTTTCAGCCAAAACAAGGCGAGGCGCTAACTGGAACAGACTATCAACTGCTCATATGCAAGTTCAAGTTGAAGCTGAAGACAATTAAAACAAGTCCACAAGAGCCAAAATATGACTTTGATTATATCCCTCCTGAATTTAGAGACCATCTGTAAAGAATAGATTTGATGCACTGAACACCAGTGACCAAAAACCAGAGAACATCATCCATGAAGAAAGCAAAAGGTCATTAAAGAGACAAGAAAGGAAGAAAAGACCAAAATGGATGTCAGAAGAGACTCTGAAACTTGCCCTTGAGCAGAGAGTAGCTAAAGCAAATGGAAGAAATGACAGGATAAAAGAGCTGAACAGAAGATTTCAAAGAGCAGCTCGAGAAGAGAAAGGCAATTATTAGAATGCAATGTGCAAAGACGTGGAGTCAGAAAACCAAAAGGGAAGAACATGCTCAACATTTCTAAAGCTGAAAGAACTGAGGAAAAAATTTAAGCCTCGAATTGCAATATTGAATGATTCCGTGGGCAATATGTAGAATGATGCAGGAAACATCAAAAGAAGATGGATGGAATACACAGAGTCACTGTACCAAAAAGAATTGGCCAACGTTCATCCATTTCAGGAGGTGGCATATGATGAAGTACCAATGGTACTGAGGGAAGAAGTCGAAGCTGTACTGAAGTAAGTGGTGAAAAACAAGGCTCCAGGAATTGATGGAATACCCATTGAGATGTTTCAACAAACAGATGCCACACTGGAGGCACTCACTCAGCTACACTGAGAGATTTGGAAGACAGCTACCTGGCCACCTGACTGGAAGAGAGCCATATCTGTACCCATTCCAAAGAAAGGTGATCCCACAGAATGTGGAAATTATATAACAATATCATTGATATCACATTGCAAGTAAAACCTTACTGAAGATAATTAAAAAATGGTTGCAGCAGTTTATTGATTGACAACTTCCAGACATGCAGGCTGGATTCAGAAGGGGATGTGGAGTGAGGGATATCAGAGCTGATGTCAGATGGATCTTGGCTCAAAGCAAAGAATACCAGAAAGATGTTTACTTGTGTTTTATTGACCAGGCAAAGGCATTCAATTGTGTGGATCATAACAAATTGTGGGTAACATTGAGAAGAATTGGAATTCCAAAACACTTCATTGTGCTCATGAGGAACCTGTACATAGACCAGGAGGCTGTCATTCGAACAGAACAAGGGGATACTGCATTGTGTAAAATCAGGAAGGGAGTGTGTCAGGGTTGTATCCTTTCACCATACTTATTCAATCTGTATGCTGAGCAAATAATCAGAGAAGCTGGACTGTATGAAGAAAAACATGGCATCAAGATTAGAGGAAGGCTCATTAACAACCTGAGATACACAGATGACACAACTTTGCTTGCTGAAAGTGAGGATGACTTGGAGCACTTACTGATGAAGATTGAAGAATGTAGTCTGCAGTATGGATTACACCTCAATATAAAGAAAATAAAAATCCTCACAACTGGACCAATAAGCAGCAGCACAATAAATGGAGGAAAAATTGAAGTTGTCAAAGATTTCATATTACTTGCTTCTGCAATCAATGCCAATGGAAGCAGCAGTCGAGACATGAAAAGACATTGCGTTGGGCAAACCTGTTGCAAAAGACCTCTTTCAAGTGCTGAAGAAGAGCAAAGATATCTCCTTGAAGACTAAGATGCGTCTAACCTAAGCCATGGTATTTTTCAATTGCCTCATATGCATGTGAGAGCTGAACAATGAATAAGGAAGACTGAAGAAGAGTTGATGCTTTTGGGTCGTGGTGTTTGCAAAGAATGCTGAAAGTACTGTGGACTGCTAAAAGAATTAACAAACCTGTGCTGGAAGAAGTGCAGCTGGAATACTCCTTGGAAGTGAGAATGGCCAGACTTCATCTCACCTACTTTGGTCCTGTCAGAAGGGACCATTTCCTGGAGAAGGATGTCATGCTTGGTAAAGCGGAGGGTCAATGAAAGAGGGGAAGGCCCTCAACAAGATGGATTGACACAGTGGCTGCAGAGGTGGGCTCAAGTATAGTAGATGCCGTGAGGCTGGCACAGGATGAGGAAGTGTTTCCTTCTGTTGTACATAAGGTCACTATGAGCTGGAGATGACTTGACAGTACACAACAACAACAACAACGGATGACGTGAAAACAATGGGTAATTTAAAAAAAAAAACTTAACTATACAGAATAATAGATAATCACAGAAGTGTTTTTACTTGACTTCAGGGTGCTTATCTCCAAATATTTAAAACTTGTATACTGAGCTGGAAATTCTTATTAGTTCACATTAGCCAGGCTGGATAGAATTGACTTAAGAGGCAATGCAAAACCTCTGGTCCCCTCCTTTGGCCTCGTGCCTGGGATGGACAAGAGCCCTCTATTAGATGCAAACCCATAGCCTAGATAGGCATATGCCCACTTTCTAAATCTTAATCAGTGTCCAGATGGGTCACTGTTTCCCTGATGCTAAGGATATAGTGAATTATTTTTGATAAGCTATGAGGGGAGCAAAGATAAACAAAGGTGGTAATGCTATCAGCATAGACTGTTAATGAATCAAGGTGGAAGAAAGACTCTGAAACATTCTTCTTGAAATCTTATTAGGTTAATTATAAAATGTACTTGTTCTAATCAGATAAAATACCATACAAAGCCATAATAATTAAAATATATATATGGTAATGATGCAAAAGCAAATAGAAAATGAAAAAGAAGAGAGTTCAGGGACAGATGCATATTTATAAAGGAATTTTAAAAGAAAAGATAGTACATAAGTCAGTAGGGAAGGGGAAGAATCTTTAGAAAATGATGTTGAGAAAGCTGGCTTACAATAATAGAGAAAAATAAAACTGGATCCCTGTCTAGAATCATATATGAAAGCAGATATCAGATGGATTAAAGGCCTGTGCATGAAAGATGAAACTATAGAGAATGGAAAATAATGTTACAAAATAAATTTTTGACCTAGAAGTAGAGAAATATGTCTCAAACAAACCCTCAAAAGTATATACCACAAGGGAGTTGTTTAATTTGAGACACCAAAATCAAATAACAGTACTTCTGTTCAATGATAACACCCTGAAGATGTTGAGTGGGAGATGGCATCAGTAATGCCTAAACCAACAAAAGACTTATATGTAGAATATAGAAAAGAATGCCTACACATCAACAAGAAGATAGTAACTGCGGCATAGTAAATTACTTATTGTGGCTTTTCTAGCCATAAGTCTTTGTAAACTCCATGGTGGAATTTGCTATGAGAAACTGAGTAGCTCTTGATTGTTAAAATCATCCACCTGGGGATATTTCTGTTGGGAGCAGCACAAAGCAATATTCCTGGAAGTTCGCTCTCTCTCAGGTGCTTAGAATTCTGACGTTATGATTGGTTGGTTTGGCCACTCTGCCTGGCTCAAAAGGAGGCCTCCTAGAAGCAGAAGTCTCTCTGACTGTTGGCTGAGGAAGGACGTGCCCCCGAGAGACATGTCCTGCTGG